GGCCTGACGCTGGGCTGGACGCAGCTCCAACATGGAAAGGAACCTCTGGACACTGGCTCTGATCTTAGCTCCACGGAAACCCAGCTACACTCCTTCTGTGACTGGAAACCCAGGGGTGTGACTCAGTGCAAATAGAAATCACTCTCCCCTGTGAGTCTCAGATCCTTTTCTCAGGATTTTGTAAGAAGTCACCCCCAGCACCCAGGGGGAGAGGACCCCCACCTCGCCTGGTACCCCTGGAGCTGGTCAGTGCCCAACTCACCCACACTCCCCCTCGCCGTGTATGTCACACTCGGTGAGCCCTTCCCAATGAGTCACCTTGAATATTTTAAATTAGTTCTTTAATGTTTTCTTCTTCCGTTTGCTTTTCTGTAATTTCTATTAATGAGGTATTAGAACTCTTGTACTATCTTACAATATTACTTTCTCACTGAAATTCTACATCTTTGTTTTTTGTTGGTGGTAGTGGTAGTTAGTTGGATCTTGTTGTTTCGTTAGGATTGTTTTATTTGTGAGGAAGATTTCCTTAGCCCTTATAATCCTGTTGTGTGTGTGTGTGTGTGTGTGTGTGTGTGTGTGTGTGTGTTATAACTTAAGTTGCTGAAAAGCTCTTCTTTGCTCTCTTAATATTTCTAAGTTGTACCATTCTGTTCCTTTTCCTTTTAATGGTTTCAGTGCACATACCTCTGAAAAGATTATGCAAAATTTTTCATTGTTGCTTCTCTCTGCTGAGTCTCTGTTTCTTCCTCAAATTTTTTTTTCTTTTAGTTATTTGATCTCTTTTAAGTTTCTAACCTTTGGTTACTAGATCATATAGGAGTGGGTGACAGAAAATCCCAGTTCAAAGAAAAGATTGAGGAAGAAATGATGAAAGAGCAAATAATAGATAAGAATGACCAAAAACAAGCAAATAAAATCAGGTACAAAACACAGCTAACGTATGTTCCTTAAAAAGAATCTGAAGCAATACAGCAGAAGCAATATCACTGATATCATAGACGAAGACACTGGGTCGACCAAGTGCCAGAACAATTTAATGAAAAACAGCTCTTGAAATGATCCTCATTGGAGTGTGATATACTGAGAATTTTTAAGCTTTGGGAATGGAAGTGTTGCCATTACTTAAAAGACAAAAAATTGGGCTAGTCTCAGACTTACACCCTCTATATCATGGATCACCTGAGAATATATAACATTATCTTTAGAGTTGCAGGTGAAAGATTTTAATCCAAGTATTTTATACCCAACCAAATTGTCATTTACCTGTGAAACCAATTTTAAGACAATTTAGGTTATTCAGGACTACAGAAAATATACCACCAACATTCTCTCTCAGCAAAAAGTATTATGTTCTCGCCCCAGGTGTTCTCAGACTTCCCAAACCCATCTCATGCTGCAGTCCATCCCTCCACATACATCCACCAACACCCCAACACACTCCCATGTTGATTGGCAGCTGGCTGCTTCCTCTGACTCCTGTCAGTCACTCCTCCTCCCACCGCCTCAGGGCGTTCGCTTCCACACAATTCCAAGTCTAGCACTCCGGGCCTGTCTTTTCTATCTCCATCCGGAGCCATAGTAGTTTATTACTTCCTGTCTTTCGTGACCAAATTGTATTGCTAAAGGGGCTAAAACATATCTTATAAATTTGAAGTTTACAGATGACTTGCTTCTACTACTAACCCCTTTCCTCTTTCCCAGGGCAATATGTTTCAAAATGTAATCTGGAGGGGAACACAGTGGATTCAAAGGAGAATTTAATTCCCCAATTTAATATTTGCAAAATGTTACCCCTGTAACACATTCTTAAGAAGTGAAGCAAGCATGTGGGACAGTCACCTGGCTTTAAAAATGTTGTTTTTCAAGTCTTAACTGACAGCTACCAAAACAAACGTCTTGCAGCGAGACGGGAGTTCTGTCTAGCCATCTGTGCTTTCTCTTGCTAATTTTTGGGAAAGCGTGAACATTGCTACTTTCATCATCCCCCCAAATGGAACTTATGAACCTACACTCAGATTACACAGTGACTATTGTGTCTTAAACATATAACCTTCCTGAAAATGCTGTTTATCACTTACACACGGTGTGTCATTATCTAATTACATCAAGTATAACAACTGTTTTACCAATTATTTACTATTGTTTTTCTTAATCTTTATTGTTGAAAATAGTACATATGTCCCCTTTTTTTCCTCCCATTTATTATTGTTTTTTAAAGCTGTTTTCTAGGTCATTCTTAAGTAACTATATATTATATATAATATATATGGAGATAAAATACATATGGAAATATATATGTATATACTGGAGGCCCGGTGCACAAACTTGTGCACAGGTGGGGTCCAGCCAGCCCACCCTGATCGCCTGGGCCGGCTGGGGGAGGGACCGCAGGTGGTTGGGGGACCCCCTGGTCGAACTCCAGGTTGCACTCCCTGTCAAACTCCTGGTCGAGGGGACAATTTGCATATTAGCCTTTTATTATATAGGATATACTTACATATAAGTGTATATATGTACATATATAGTATGTTGTATACATGGATGGATAGATACACACACATATATGGAGAGAGAGTGGATGGCTGTTGAATAAAGTGTCTTCATTCTAAAACCTCATTCATCTTGTTATTTAGAAAGTGTGGGTTGTCACTCATTTACTTTGAATGTTTAAAGTTATGTCTTAATAAACTAAAGGACTTCGATGTATGCTTTCTTTTGGCTTCAGGGTGAGTTTTTTCCTCGTGTATCATGTCCTGCTTGACCATCCAGCGCCATTCAATTGGTGGTGAAGTTGGGCGTCTGGTCCCACGTGTGTGAGCTGTTCTGAGTCTGACCTGGGGTCGCCTGGTGTTTACCTGGGGCGCTCTTTCCGTGTGGGGGTCCCTGATGGGCCTTCTTTTCCTGACCTTCCTCCTTACAGGCTCCCCCTGGGACATGGGGACAGAGTGGAGGCAGCTTCAAGTTCAGGGACAATGCTGATTCCTTGGAAACCTTATTCCCTAAATAGGGGTTTGTCGTTTTAAAAGGCAGAGAGGTTGCCCTAACCGGTTTGACTCAGCGGATAGAGCATCAGCCTGCAGACTCAAGGGTCCCAGGTTCGATTCTAGTTGGGGGCATGTACCTTGGTTGCGGGCACATCCCCAGTGGGGAGTGTGCAGGAGGCAGCTGATCGGTGTTTCTCTCTCATCGATGTTTCTAACTCTCTATCCCTCTCCCTTCCTCTCTGTAAAAAATCAATAAAATATATTTTAACAAAAAATAATAAAAGGCAGAGAGTCCATCGATTCCACACACCTCGTTCCCCAAACACCCTGGCCGGATCAGGCAATTTAGGGGACCCCTCTCCCTGCCCCCCCCCCCTCCCGCACTCGCACATGGAAGGCTCTTGCTTCCTGGGTCGGATGCCTGTGTTAGGCCCCCAGGAGGAGCGGGGCCAGAAGGGGTTCCGTTGCACATTCACT